ATCCCCTCAGCTTTTTGTTTCGCAGATGCCTTTTGCCTCCCCTCGGTTGCCGTTGAGTGGCTTCTTTGCTGTCGTTTCACGTCCTGACAGCTGAAACGGATCTGACTAATTCTTGCTTGAGTGTGCTCAGTCTGGGGGGGAAGGGGAGGTGTTCCATGAGGGGTGAGCGGGAGCAAGGATGGTTTATGACGGGGGGCAGGTGGGGACAGGACGGCCATCTGGCTCGTTGGCGACGGCATCTGGCACGTGTTGCCATCTGCATATCAATGGCGCTCTTCTTCACTCAGTCCAAAGCCTTCTCCTCCAACTTGCGATGCGAGAGAAATGCCTCCCCCCCCTCCCCACCTCATTTATCTTTCCCCCCTACCCCCCAGCAGGAGAAGACGGAGGTTGTGCGAACCAAAAGGAAGTATGAAAAGAAGCCCAAGATCCCCCCTCAGTCAGCGCCCCATCACGCGGGACCCTCAGTGTTCAATCTCAAGGACCTCAACCAGTATGACTTTCCCAGCTCTGACGACGAACCCTTCTCACAGGTAAAACCAAGTCAAGAAATAGTTTTTTTTTTATTATTGTCTAAATTGCAGCCTTTGCGATTTGAAAATTTTGTTCGATGACATTGCTGTCATTGTTTTTGTTGAAGATACTGGAGAAACGTTCTTAAAGAGGTTCATTCAGATTGTTGAGCAGTCAAAATTGCCTTCAGTGTTGACAAAGGCCCCCCATTTGATTGTAGACTTGAAATTGTCTTTAAATCTTGAATAGCGACGGAAATTTGAACTTGGTGTGTTGACGAGTCTCAATTGTCTTTTCTGTTTACGAAAATGTGCGCTGGGTTTCCAGGGGACTCGAAATCGTCTTTGTTTTGCAAACAAACAAAGCATCCGGCCATGCTCGCTCTGTAATCATCAACATAGAGCCGGCTGAGCTCTGTTTGCGCGAGTGTTTTTATTTATTTATTTGTGTTTTATCCATTGTACAGATTCATTCAGGTTCTTCAGAGGCAGAAGAGGAGAATGACCCAGATGGTTGCTACGCATTTAGGAGGAAGGCCGGCTGCCATTATTACGCTGTGAGTGCTTTCTCGCTCGCTCTCCCTTTCCTGCGCTTCTATTTTTAATGTTGCACCCATTAGTCTGAAGCTCTGTGATGACTCCCCCCCCC